TTTTGAAACGTCAGCCGGAATATACTTTGGTCTCAGAAGTCGTCTCCTCTTCCTCTTCCGGGGATGATGTAAGGAATACAGACATGCTTATACTGAAAACACCTCATGACTTCACCTTCGATGAAGCCGTCAAGCGACTGTCAGAGACTTTCAGGGAGAAGTCCTCCTTGTTTAATATACGCTTTCAGTGCCTCAATCTGATGAAGAACAAGACGGACGATTTTCTGACTAGCATCGTCAACCGCGAGTATGAAAAGTTAAAGCTGCGAGCGATGAAAGAAGACCAGTTCAAGTGCCTAATCTTTGTGTGCGCTTTTCAGTAACCTCGCGATACTCAAATAAGAACTCGTCTACTCAGCAAAATCGAACAGGACTCCAACACAATCCTACGGACATTGACGACCGAGTGTCAGTGGCTTCAGAATCCTAAGCATGATTCTGCCATCGTGGAACACAGTTCCTCGCTTGCCCCCAATAAAGTTCGTGCTGTCACCCGCACCAATTGGATGTCTCCACAGAAGTCTCAACACACTACACTCAGAAAACCACCAACAGCATGCTAGCAGTGTAGTGACTGGAATGCCATTCGCTTCTTTCCTTCCAAGAAGCACGTTTGTCAGAAATGCCATAAACAAGGGCATAAGGAAGATCACTGCCCGACGAGCCAACCCATCAAATTAAGGGCAGGCGACGAAACGTCCCAAACGCCCTTCATATTATGCCGGTCTAAAGTTTCCCTTGATTCTAGCTACTTTCAAGACTGAATTTGAGGTACGGAGGAAGTATTTTACGGTTACCATCAGTGGCAAACCTGTACGCCTCCAGTTTGGCACAGCCTCAGACATCAGTCTTATCTCCAAGCGCACTTGGCAGGTGATCGGAGGGTCTCCGATAATAATATCGGAAAAAATGCGATGAATGTTTCTGGAGAATTTCTCTGGCTCACAGATGAGCTTCAATATGAAGTCTCTTTTGATGGCATTCAATTCAAAGGAACATGCTACCTTACCAAGCGTCCGAACCTCGAGTTAATTTTTGTTGACTGGATCAAGAAACTCGGTCTTCTGGAATTGCCACTTAATCGTGTTTGTAATAGTGTGCAGTCATTTTGGCCGAGTTCCGCCAAATCTCATTAACTGGCTGCAAAGTTGACGTCGAGTCTACAGGAGAAATTTGCCCCAGTTTTCCAAGATGGTTTTGTCAGCTGTGACAAAATTAAAGTCACTCTACGAATTCAACCAAATACAAAACCCGTCTTCAGACCTAAAATACTAGTTCTTTATGCTACACTTTCTGTTGTTGACCAGGAGATTGAGCACCCTCAGCGAGACGGTATTTTTCAGCCAGTCAATTACTCCATATGGGCCACAACAATGGTGGCTGTCAATAAAGCCGCAAGTAAAGTCCGAATTGATTATGCTTTCTGTACTGGTCTCAATGCTGCTCTGGACACGCATCAGTATCCCCTGCCCGTGCCGGAAGATCTTTTTGCTAAGCAAAATGGTGGTACTTGTTTCGCCATGCTGAATCTATTTGATGCATACCTTTAAATCGAGATGGGTGGAGGTCCCCGCAAACTTCTAAACATTAAAAGCCATCGAGTTTTGTTCCAATTCACCCGTTTGTCATTTGTGGTTAAGAATAACTCCATCATCCTTCATGAAAATCATGTTGACGGGCAAGGAAGGTGCCGCTGCTTATCTGGATGATATCAGAGCCAGTTGCAACGTCCGGAGACCGTGCTCAGCCGGATTCAGGAATATGGTTTCCGTCTACGTCAGGAGAAGTGCAATTTCCATGCCTTCTGTAAAATATCTCGGGTCCATAATCGACCAAGACGGTCGACCCCCAGATCCAGACAACATCGACGTCATCAAACATATTCCACAAGTGAAGAACGTAAATTCCTGGCGTGTTTTCTTGGATTTCATACGTCACAGCAGTTTGTTCCTTCCGGAAACGCACCGCCTTCTTAATCCGATAAATGAACTGCACAAGAAAGATGTCAAGTGGTCCTGGTCGCGAGATTGCCAAGAAGCGTTTGAGTGAGTGAAAATATAGAGTTGACTTACTGCTCAGGCACTACAACCTTGATCTGAAGATTGTCATTGCAGCGGATGCCTCCAATTATGGACTTGGCGCCGTGATTTTATAAGTTTTTCCCGACAACACAGAGAGGGCCATCTGTCATGCAGCAAGATCGCTAACGTCTGCTGAACGCAATGACTAATAGATCGAGAAGGAAGCCCAGGCTATCATCTTCGTCGTGAAGAAGTTTTACAAGATGCTTTATGGGCGTCATTTCGACCTTCTCGTGGACAACAAGCCTCTTCTTGCTATTTTCGGCTCGAAAAAAAGCATTTTTGTGTACTCGGCGAATCGCCTTCGGCGCTGCGCAAACATGCTGCTGGGCTACGATTTCAACATCCGGCACCAGTATCCAACAAACAAAGGCTAGGTAGACGCACTCTCGCGCATAATCAACTCATGGACTAAGGAGCCTGAGGACACAGCCATCAGTACTGTCTTTATTGAGTCAGAGGTTCACAGTCTGTTAATGGATTCCAGTCGTGCACTCCCCGTCACGTTTGAGAAAGTCCGACACGCAACCCAATAGGATCCACTGTTGAGACTCATTGGCCCGAAACAATTTCCGAAGAATTGCAGCAGCTCCATCAACGACGAAATTCTCTGACCAGCGTTAATGATTGTATCTTATTCTATGAACGTGTCGTGGTTCTACAGAAACTACAAGCAAGGGTCTCGAAACAGTTTCATACTGAACATCCGGGAATCAACCGCATGGAGGCTTTCGCTCGCAGTTATGTGTACTGATCTCACATGGACCAACAACAGGAACAGCCAGCCCGATCATGCACCAAATACGCTCTCGCATCAAAGGCGCCAAGGCATGGTCTGTTCCACAAGCCGCATGACCCAGGATTGACGTCGATTATGCTGGACCGCTCAATAGCCAGAAATTCCTTATCGCTGTTGACGTATACAGCAAATGGT